CCCAAGAGCCTCGATGAACTCAGGGCAGTGCTCGCACCAGGAACGAGTTTAAGGTGTTAATGGCCTTGGCTTTCAGCCGGCCAGTACATAATACCAAACAAGAGAATAGCAAAAATCTCATATTTTAGTAAAAGGATCGATTTCAAAAGTTGTCCCAGAAGGGAAAAATGAGAGGGTTTATATAGTAAAAAATGGGCAAACAAATAAGGAAACAAAGTAAAATAAACAAGAAACAAGGAAAGAAAACATGCAAATCAATTTGAAATCGATTTAAGATAGAAATTCGATAAACCCTAATTTTTTAGGGAAAGTGTAAATCACAGAAATCCAAATGAAATAGAACTCACATAATATAGAATCAAACACGTGTAGACGAATATACGGTCCAGTTTAGAGGAATAGGACTCATTTGGACGGAATCAGAGACATAGTACTTGCCATGTTTAGGCAAGTACTAAGTAATACCATGGAGAAATACACAGCAGCGGAGGAACACTAATATGGTAAGTAATTAATGGGAGAATCCCATGGCTAACGGGATTAGAAAGGGGGATTGGTTAAGGGCGACGATTAGGGTTCATCAGAGAGAGGCGAGACAGAGAGAGTTTATAGGTGACATGTAATGGGATAATGGGGTTAGGGTTTAGGTTTAATGGATTTAAAAGGGGAGGTGGCTTGTGAGCCGTTAATCTTTGAGATCGACAGTCAAGATTGAAGGAAGATGAGGCGGGTCATACAAAACAGGTCCCGACCGGATCGTTTTAAAAGGGTGGTTTGGTTTTGGGCTGCTGAGAAGGGAGAGGGTAGGATTTGGGCCAAAATTGGTCCGAAAATTAGCATAGAATTGGGCTAGTTCTGAAACCTTTGAAAATTAATTAAAAATAAATTATTAAAACTACTAATAAATGGTAAAAGTAATATTTATGCTGTAAAACTATTTTAAAATAATAACTCAACATTATAAAAGTATAAAAATGATACTTTGGCATAAATAATATAATAAACACAATTTTTTGTAGAATATAGGCCATTATTGTAAAATTAGATAAATTGCTTAAAAGGCTAATGTAGAAATAGAATAAAATATTTAAAATAATTTATGGATGCAAATAATAATTTATGGAAATTAATTCATCATAAAAATAGTTTAAAGGATAATTATTAGATATTTATATAATAAAAATATATAAGAAATTAATTTTGAGATTTAAAAATTATGAACAATTATAAAAAGTATTTGTATAGGTTTCTAAACTAAATAATGAAGCAAACATGCTATTTGAGAGAGAGAGAGAGAGAGAGAGAGTGTATATACATATATATGTGAAGACAAAATTGGGTATCAACACCTACGAGTAGAGAAACCAAGTACTTACGAGTATAGGTCCAAGCCTCAGAAAAACTGTCGACATTGGCCACCACGTCCTTGGTTCTGAAAAAAATGAAGTTGAACCAGAATTAATGGTTGGCCTTGTCATCCATCTTCACCACCAGGCATTTGCCCCCTCGAAGGTGAAGATTCAAAATCGTTCCCCTATAGAAGCTAGGGGCGAATAGATGTATTAAATGCCGAAGTGTCAATTCGACCCCAGCTAGATTGGCAAACTTAGTAAGCATCTTTATAATTTTATAGACGTACGGTGCAAGCTGAGCTGGCAAAAGCCGTAGTGACGACATAACTCCTCGACCAGTGGATGGAGAGAAAAAGAATAGCCAAATTGGAAAGGATAGGCATGAAGGGCAAAATAGCCGGGACGGTGGACCTGTACCGCATCATCTTCAGCAGGGATCAACTCGATATGATCAGAAAGGCCAAATTTGGCCTTGAACTTCGCTAGTTCATTTACCGTCATCACTTATTGAAAGTCTCTAGGTACGGCCTCAGGTGCTTTGGTGAAGTCGGATTTGGAATCAGGGTTACATGGGACTATTTCCTCCACCGATGGGAAACTTTCATCCTCAACGGTGGTGGAAACACTCTCCTCCCGAGAAGGGAATACCACTGCTAAGGGAGAAACACGGCTCCCCTCTCCAGCATTAGAAGGCACTTCAGACATGATTCGACGTAGTGAACTAACAAACAAAAAGGAATGAAGAAGAACATAAGTCACTGGAAATAGAAGAAATTTAAAAAAAAAGAAAGGGGGAAAGAAATAATGTCTTAAAAACGCTAGAAAATTTAAACTCTTAAATTGAATTCAAATATCTCTATTTATAAAGATGGCACCGAAACCAAAAACGGTTCATCATTGGCGTCGAAACCGAAGCTGCAAGTCTAATCAAAGGTCACACGAAAAACAAAGAAATGCATTGGGAACATGTGTCATAATGACACATGACATTATGACATATTCCTGATCTATGGACAATATAACTCCAACAATCGCCCGGGAAATTCGAAGCATTTTGAAATGTGCGACTCATAGAGGGCCACATCACCTGTTCGCCATAATAACCATGACTCATGCGGTCGACTCGATTAGCTCGACCACCGACAACATGATCTACTCATAGAACCCGCCCGCAAGACCAACCTCAATAAGCGGAGGGACTAACGGTATGAGTTGAAATTTATCTGTAGAATATAAGTCAAAATGATATCGGTAAAGCATTTTTAGGTCGCCATGGGTCGAAGTGATCAAATCAACAATGAAGGCCGTGGTCGAAGAGTCAGCAAAGATCGAAGTCGAGGAGTCATCAGTAACCATTGTCGAAGTCATGGGCCTCTGGCAGAGTTATAACGGCTAGCTTTAAGATTGGACCTAAATGAGAATATTCTAGTGAATATTCTTTGCACTTGTACTATTAGGGTTTCTAGGAACATATTTTCTATAAAAAGAAAGAGACATAATGATATTCATTTGTAGAAGACACTTTGACTTTAAAGGAGAGAACCAGATGTTATTACACCGATACAAACGTAATCTTTTCGCTAAGATTCTTGTCTATACGTTTTCACCATATCCGAGAATAACTCAGATATTCAAAGGATTATTCATCACTCATCATTATCGGAAAGAATATCCATTACTACCATCTTGTCTTGGGTGACTCCTCTGCATTTATTTACATAAATGCCATTTATTATTATTCATCTACATTCAACGTTGCATTATTTCTATTTTTATTCTTGACCATTGACTATTGCATGCTGCCATACCCGTTAGAACAGATTTGCACGTCATTCGTTATACTACTAGGATTTCTTTCAAGGATATTGTTGTTAACAAAGATTCACTCTCATTTATATAAGTTTAATTAGTTAAATCAAGATCTATATTTTTGGTCAAACAAGTTGCACAACAGTCTTGTTTGGAATTTGATGCAAATGAAGCAGCAATTATCATACGGCTCACCAATTATTAGACATGTCTTAAGTATCTGATTCACATATTTCAGTTAAACAATCACTTTATTAAACAAGCCTAATTCAACTCCAAAATGTTAGTTGATGAAATGAAGGCGTGCAGACGAGGAGATGATGTAACTTTACCACAGCTGATTTATTTGAATCCATAAATATACATCTAAAATTCACTAAATCTGTTTCATTTAAACTTGCACATACATGGGGTTTACATCAAATTATATTAGTTTATTATGATTAAATATTAGATTGATATAAGAACACATATTCTTCAATAATTAGAGGCTAATCTAAGATTTAAACTTTATAAGTTCAGTTTTTAAAATTTTTAGCATTGAACCAGTTATATTTTTTAATTTATGGGTTCATGTATGCTATTTATTACAATTTAAATATATTTTACACATAAATTTATGATCTGCGCCGAAAATTATGGTTCAGTTGAACCCTTCCGCCTCTGTCAATAATCATGATTTATTTATGAACATATGAGTAAACGACATATGCATTTATTTAGTGCTCCGAAAATATCGAGGGTGAATAATCTGGAGTCAATTGAAATCCTTTCCAAGTCAATAACTAGTGCCTGCTCGCCAATAGAAATCCTTTCCAAGTCAATTTTTAGCCCTTAAATCTCCTTTATATTAGTGGCTCTCACAATCATGTTTCTCAAATCAAAATTGCCGGCTGTTGCGAGTCGTTAGACGACCGTGGTCTTTTCTTGAACAACTACTTTTCTTCCATTCTGCAGTCTGCTCAGCGTTCCCCAACAACCCTTGCCTTGCCTCACTACAACTACAATTATCAAACAAATTGATCTGCATCTGAAGATTTGATAGAAAGTATAAAGGACTAACCATCAGAAAATAACCAATAAAATTTCTTTTTAAAAGTAGATCTTTACATGGGATAGGTGTAGCCTTTTTTATAAGTAGGAATTAAGGGAATCTTTATAAGAAAATTTGCCTTGCTTAACCTGAAATTAGTTTTATAAGCCAAATCAATTAAATTTGTATTTTCAGGGCACAAGTAATCGATTTGAGTCACTTTCTCAAATTTAAATGGCAAGAAATAATAACTGACAGTAAATAAGGAAATCAAATATTAGGCAAAAGGAAAGAGAATTCATATTGATCTAAGATGTTTCGTTTTTCAGATTGATTCGAGCAAGATAATGTGATATAGAGAGATGAGAGTTGTCGAGTTATTTGTTATGTTTACAATGTAGGAGAAGTGGGGATTTAAATAGTAAAATTACCCGTAATCATTTCCCTCTAATATCTCGCCCACCCGTTACCCCTATTAACTGCGTTTTTACACTGAGAATCTATAACTGCTCAATGAGTTATACCAAATCCCACTTTATTCACTCGTATTTCCTCTCGGGAAGTCTTCTATGTCGACTCATAAACGATTACGGTACGAATGGTCCCGGTGCCAAATAACTCTCCACTTGACTCATCTCGGTCTCATCCTCTCCATGATCTTCTAATATTCTTGACACGTGCTGGGATATAATCAATCCACGTGGTGAGTCAATTTTTTACCAATACAGACCTAAAGTGAAGAGTGGAAATTCCTGTTCCAGAAAATACACATTCATTCCTTAAAAAAGCCGCTCATTCACAAACCATGGAACCAGGAAAATTGGAGCCTTCATTAATTGTTTGTATAACCTTCAGAGTTTGTGTACAAATATACCAAGACTAACTTCAAAAACAAAAATTCTAAGAGCTTATAATTCTCCCAAATTGTTGACATTAGCCAATCACAGGGCCAAGAATGGCTGCGACTGGCCTTATCCAAACTAACAGTAATAATTACACCTCAGTTTCAAACAGGTTGTGGTCGACTATATGAATTCTCACTGTGCATGTCTAGAATATCAAATTTTTCGACCACAAAAATTTAATCTCAACGCAATAACATGGTTGCAGGAGGAAAAATAGAGGACCTCGGAAGAGAAAAACAAAGAGATCACTCTAATATACCAAAATGTATCACGTTGAAGAGATCTCTGAAGCGCCACTAGAAACAGACAAATCAACTGGAGTAAAAACCATTTCCCTTAGGTGTAAATGTCTCAAACTTTGATCCATACTAACTTGTATCACTTCAGCAAGCAAACCTCGCGCTTTTCCAGTTTGCTCATTTCCATCTAATTGAGATATAAGATTTGAAACAATGTTCTCCAGTGTGTCAGGTTTAAGCTCAGACCTCTTATAAGGAGTGTCTCTAAGCAACCTTAAAAGTATTTGTGATTTTTCTTGAGATATAGTTGTCCCTTTAACAGTCAGCTCAAGAAGTCCAGGCATTACACCTTCTCTAAGAATTAATTCCCGGTATTTACACCGATCAATTTGACACATCGTCAGCAGAGCTCCTACAGCATGTTCTCTACTTTGCAAAGATCCAATTTCAAGCACTTCTACTATTGCAAAAATCCCTCCTTCTTCAGACGTCAACGCGTTCCTACCTTCCTCGTAGCACATTAGTGATTCTATAAGAGCAGTACATTTTTCAGCAGTTTTTGATGACTTTTTACACGATTTGAGCAGAGAAATTATGGAAGGAATTGGCTCTGTTTCAAGAATCAATGTTAAATTTCCTTGATAAGTTGAAAGATTGTAAAGAGTCAATATAGAATCAACCTTGGCGTGTGAGCTACCGCGTCTTAGAATATCCACAAGTAGAGGGATGACACCGAAAGAACTAAGGATCGGCTTCGTTACAGAAGATGCTGATAATGTAAGCAATGAAGCAGTTGCATAATCCTGTAGACTTGCATTTTCTGATTGAAGAAAGCCAATAATTGGTTCCAAGGCGCCAGCTTCTATGATACTTTTCTTGTTTCTGTTGAAGATACAAGCAAATAAGATCAGATTGTTTGCTTTCTAATAATTTAAGAATTTAGATGAGTTGATTACACGATTTAACACAGTTTCAAAAAGGTTAGAGATCCTAAGTTCAACTATGTTGCTCGAACTCTCCAAAAATACTGCTGCACTCGTGTCGGATCTTTCAAATATGTACTAAATTTGGAGGATCCAACACATACCTAACAATATTTTTGAAGAGTCCGAACAACATAAAAGTTCAAGGCTCATTGTCACATAAAAATGAATCAACCCGGCACATAAGGGGGTGTGTTGAAGATATTAAAACAAAAGTTTCATTTATAATAGCATAAATTTTGTACTTAACTATTACTTTTAATATTCTCCTCAACTACCATCGATCTGAAAGACAAGTTATTGTCTTAAACTAGTATTCCGTCAAACACTTTCATATAATACCAAATAAATGGAGTATAACCAAAAAAACAAAAATAAAAAACAGCTAAAATATATATATGCGTATAATCATCCCTTTCCAAGAGTGCAAGGCACTAAATGCAATTAAAAAGGTGTATCGGTAGGAACTATAAGCAAGAAAGCTATCCGCAACCAAAAATGGAAGAACTTAAGCTAAGAAACAGCAATTACAGCTACAAGGTCACAAGCAAAATTTGAAAATTACATATCAGAACAGAATTTAGGAAACTCCGGTAGACCACCAGCAATCAGGAGTGGAGCTAGAAGCCAAGTTCTGGTTAAGCCGAACCCAGTAACTTTTGTTCAAATAGTGTATTTATCTTAAGAAATATTACTGCTACTATATTTCGCTAATTAAAGCCAATAAAAATAGTATAGTACTTGCAAAACGTACCCTTCATCTTTAACGGAGAGATTGAGGAGGGCAAGAAGAGCAGCTTCAATGAATTCAAAGGAAGTAGAACGAAGCATGTCAACAAGGGGTTTGACGGCGTCAGAGAAATGACGCCGGTAACGTAGGGAACTCTTTGTTAGTCGGCGAATAACCCGAGCACCCTCTACTTTCAAAATTGGATCTTCCGAATGAACGAGGTAAAGTGTTTTTTCAACAATGGAGAAAGACATTGTAGTGTTAGTGTAGCTCGATCGATCAGGAAATAGGCTTAGAGAAATAGAAGAATGTATCAGTAATTAATTAGAGAAGGTTCGAAATCAATGATATGTTTTTTTAATCTATATATAGCAGTAGTATTAGAGGTACAAAAACTTTACGGTCATTGTCCGACAGCGCGGTTGACTTTTGTTCAACGGCGAGGCGGGTTCCATTAATTTTCTTATTCCTCTCTCATCTTATCCAACAGTATAAGAAAATTTACTAACGAGTGGCATTCCTTTTTGGAACTTTCCTTTCATTTGCTTTTTTAAACTTTTTTCTTCAACCAAACACCAAGAAAGGAAGATATTTTGATTTTTACGAATATTGAAGACTATTTCTCGCTGGGTTGGTCACCTCCTAGCTAGGGGTATTAATAGTTCGGTACAACAAGTTATTTTATAAAATTTATACAATAACAAATTTTTGATTATTCTATTAAGTATAATCAAAATTATACTTTTTTTAATAACAATGTAAATATTACCATTAACAACAAACTCCAATACACCTATAGAGCACCTAATTCCTATAGCCACCTTCCTTGAAGGGTACAGTGAAATATAGGCCTCCAACAGAGCTAATATACAAGAAGTTTCTGAAGTAATCCCCTACAACATTGTGCTCTCTTAAACATCCTAACTTTGTTCTATTCTATCTAAAACTCCTTGATCTTGTACTACTATCACGTCTATATTTACAGTGTATCCCCTAAACAATTTTTAGTTTAGTTTTCCAAATATGGCATATTCCTGCACTCCATATAGCTGCTACCAAAATTATACTTTTCGAAACCGTCCTAATCATGTCGGTTTCTCTTCGTTATTGGTCTGGTTCGATTATTTTTCGGTATTTTTTTAAATGTTTTGTAAAAGTCACTGGTAGAAATAGGATTTATACGTACTTTTATAGGACTTAGCAAAACTCTCTAGATATTTTTACTGTTTCAAGGGTGATGAATTAAGAAAACAAGAAAGATGACCAGAGTATAGATCAATCAACTATTCTACAGCAGCGTAACCGAAACTAAGCAAACACAAAGAAAATATAAATCGCATAAGTGGAAAGATATTAAAGAAGTTGAGACTCAAGAATAAAGTCTATAGAAAATTAAATATTCAAAAAGATGAATCTAAATCATATGAAAGGAAACATATTCAATACATTGTAGTTTGCTACTCATAATCGCTATAATATTTTGTGTCTTGCTAGTAAATATGCTGAAAATAATTTAGTTTCAGTAGGAGTAACATAATAGATTTGGGAATTAGGATTTGAGTTTAATTACTTTTTGGCTTGTTCACCTTACTATCTGATTGTTTTTATTCTGCTTTTATATGGCTTCTTGGTATTGTCCCTTCTTGTCTATATTTTCATTAATGTGGTGTTTATGCTTTCCTAAGCCAATGGTCTATTGGGAAAAGTCTCTCTATCCTCACAAGGTAGGGGTAAGATTTGCGTACACACTATCCTCCCCAGACCCCACGGTGTGGAATATATATTACTGAGTATGTTGTTGTTGTTATTGTACTTGTTGGCTTGTAACCGTTTTCACAATTCCAAGACCCAAGGAAAAATTTAATACTTTAAAAAATTTAATACTTTATTATTTCTAAACTTAATATATAAATATATTTTTCACATGTAAATTTTTGGTACGGTTAGATATTTTTCCGGTTTATTTTCATAAAATAAAAAACCTACCCTAATTATCTGTACAATTATAAATTTATATAAAAATCTATAATTTTATTTTTTAAAAAAACTTAAGAATCGGTTCGGTGCAGTGCGATTTTGGTCAGTTTAGTCGGTTTTTAGATATTCATTGACACATCTACTCCTAGCGATGGATGGATAGTTTTGAATACAAATTTGCGCCTTTCGAAGTAGTACTATGATGGGGGCTGCTCGCGGTATTTTTCGTAATTCTGATGGTAGGTGAATTGGTGGATTTTCAGTCAGAATATGGGTCTACCATCATTCAGAACTGAGCTATGGAGATTCTCGCTGGCCTTTGACAAGCCTGGGACATCGGGTAGCTTTCGAGTTGGCTTGCAACTTGTTCTAGTGTATTTGATATATTGCGGTCCGGAGGGTTTGTGCCTCATCTGAATAGTGATATGGTCACCCGCATTCGTCATTTTTTGGCTAGGAATTAAGTGATTTCTAATGCTCACATCTACGTGAAGACTAGTTCGGTAGCTAATGGTTTAACCAATTTAGCCTTTAGTCAAGAGTCTCGTTTTAAATGGCATGCGCTTATGCCTTCTAGTATTTCTTCGCGTGTTGCGAGAAATAAAAAAGAGGTTTGCAAGTTAAACACATCTTCAAATTTCACCTTCTCTCTTTCCGAACAATCTTTCAAAAATTCAGTGTGTTATAGTTGATTTGAGATAACTTTTACTATGATTTTCGGAGGAAATTATACAAATAATTTATATAAAATTAACCACATTCATATATTTATACAAGTTAACATATTTGTTCTTGTCATAGTATTTTTAATGAAAAGTTTTTCTATTCTTTTCAAAATTGACAAATTCTTCAATGTTAGTGTATTTTTATTAAGTTTCAATTATTCTAATTTATTAAAAATTAAATACTATATTATTTTGTGGTAAGAAAATGATTGCCTGAATAATTC